TATTTTGTGTTTTACGCTTATAAAAAGCACACAATATAAACAAATTATAATTATTGTTATTAGTAATACATAAACTGGAAACTTTTAAAAACCTAGTTTGTAAAAGGTTTGTTGGTATAGCTATTAATGAAAATGCACACCAAATTGCTCAGATTGATGAGGACAGTATGCAAATTTTCATGCAAATCCGTTCAGTCTTTCCCGCATATTGAATAAATTAAACATTTTTAACAGGTGGCAACTCTTAAAAAAATAGCCCATTAACCAATCTGGCCCATAAGGTATCCGCGTACAAAATTGTATGCAAATCCGTTCAGCCGTTTCCGGGTGATGATTTCCCAAACATCCAAACATACAAACTTTCACATTAATAATATTAGTAAGATGCCAAGGTTCTTGCTATTTTTCGGTTTTCACAATTTATTCGAAATTTTGAGGGTGTAGAAGTCAAACGGACCTCAACATCGGGCTCAGCGGGTCAAATTACATGACGTTAAGTAGGTTTGGTTAAAAGCACACACCACTTTTTTTTGTGTGTATATTTTTTCGATATTTGGTAGCGAGAACGGCGGACGTGTTTTAGTAACCACTTGGCCTTCTGAATATTTCACTGTATTAAAGGAGAAACGCATTACAAGTCAACCAATTGTAGTACGACGTTATGGAAGATTACACGGCTGAGATTTCCATTACGGAACCAATTGCTATTCCGTGCAAAGTATAGTGAATTTTTTTATGAAACTCGGTGGGGATACTAATTGAGGTCTCCTTTAACTATATTTATCACTGTCACAATGTTGTTGCTAATAGTACTTAAGTTATTTGTTGTTAAAATATCCCGCCTGCTATCACCACATTTTATTATAACTCCACACCCATCAGTTTTATTTACACAAATATATTATCCTAAATATTCAATTATTAATTAATTAATTAAGTAAAACGCGTTTATAAATCTCTGCACAAACGTTTGCACATTTTACAAACAAGCAGAAATAACAATGGCTGACAGTAACACAAAATGTATGCTACCATACGTTAAAAAAATACACCACAAATAAGTGCGTATAGTTAGGTGTATAAGTGTACAATACGTACATTGCTCTTATTAAAAATAATAATATTAGGATCGATAGGGGTCTTACTCCTGATCATAACGTTATAATTTTTTTCGGGAGGAAAGAATATTTACTGGTATTATTATAGTTCAAAGTACACAAATGTAGAAAACGTACATCGATAATTTGATAAATAATGAAAATTTTTTATAAAAAATCGCGCGATTGTTTATTAAAAACTTTCGCCTGCGGCGCTTTTCCCATAAAAATCAATACTTCGATAAATAATAAAAATTTTTAATAAAAAATCGCGCGATTTTTTATTAAAAATTTTCGCCTGCGGCGTTTTTTTCATAAAAATCAATACTTCGATAAATAATGAAAATTGTTAATAAAAAATTGCGCGATATTTTATTAAAAATTTTCGCCTTAATTACAATGCCCGTTTTTATTGTTTCTCGTTTTCAGTGCTTTTTTGGGGCATTTTTTGTTGTGTGGCAGCACAATTGGTTTACAAAGCAAAAAGTGAGGTTGAAGTTGACATTTTTTGCAACTTCAAATTCAATTTTCATAAAAACTATAAGCCTCTGGAGGGGGGATTTCAGATTTACAATCACAAAAATCCGATCTAAACCCCCTCATTTTTGTTTTTTTTTAAAAGCCGGGTTCCGTATTGGAAAATTTTCCCGATTACACTTTGTACCAGGGTTGTTGCGAATATTATTCCGAAATAAAAGTCCTTTGCGGATAATAAACAAACCGCCTGTCCAAATTAAACAAATTTGGTATCATATGTAAGAGGACTGAAATAGCTTTTAAACAGAAATAGCGAACGACCTCTATTTATATTTTTTTTATAATTTAATACTAAAGAAATTCATATACCTGACACAAGGTTTGTTCTTTGGTAATTAATTAACATTTTTTATTAAAATATTTTTCAATATGTGGCTTTCCTCGTTCAGAGATTTCCGTTTTAAAGCTATGTACTCTTCTCATTTAATACCAAACTTTCATTTGATACCAAACTTGTTTAATTTAGATGAACGGTTGGTATATTATCCGGAAAGGACTATTATTTCATAATAATATTCGCAACAACCCTGGTATGGAGTCAGCCATACTTGCATCTTTGAAAAAAAAATATAAGTGTACGAGTGCATTACACCGGCTTGGTTAATAAACAAAATATACAAAGTTCGTAACTAAAATTTTTTATTTACAACTATTATTGGTACAGACTATACAAATTAGAGCGAACATTTCTTTAGCAGTCACACGATTTATACGCACATATTTTATACTTTTCCTTTCCTTTTTATCATTTTACATAGAAATATAATCTTGAAGCAATGGAACTTCTCCACAAAGTAGAAGACCGCGAGAAATCAAAAATAGCGCAATGGTATTCTGGTAAAATTATATTGATTACCGGCGCCACAGGTTTTATGGGTAAAGTTTTGGTCGAGAAGTTATTACGAAGCTGTTCAGACGTGAAAAGGATTTATTTGCTGATCAGATCAAAGAAGGGTGTGGACCCTATGGAACGTAAGGATCAATTCCTCAAATGCGTGGTAAGTAACTATTATTTTCCTTTTTAAAGTAATAGGATGTAATTTAAGCTCAGTAACACCGAGTAGCTAGGCTAAATTCGCTCAGAATGTTGTGTGGATTTTACACCTTTTCCTTCTTAAGACTAATTCATAATGCGGCCAGGATAAACTAGTATATTGCATCATGAATGGTGCCAGAGGAGGAAGTAAATAAAGTTTTCGTTTACGTTTTTTGACGACTATAAGTCATCAAGGGCCAAGTTTCTCCTCAAACGACAATCCACTACGGTCAGATATTTTGATAATGAATAAATTATATTAGAGGTATTCGTCCACACGCAATGTTAAGCAGTGTTTGCATTGTTCAACTTTGCGTACAACTCAACGCAGGGTTGCCGGAAAAATGTTGAATGGCTAAAAATATAAAAATATGAAAAAATATCAAAATATTCTCCATAAAAATGCGTTTGCATTGTTCAACTTTGCATTCAACTTTTGGTTGAACGGCCTTTCAGTTAATCGTTTTCAACAAAGTTGGCCAACATTTAGCAATTCAACTTTTTTTCGTGCAACCCTGCGATGAGTTGAATAATGCAAACACTGTTTTACATGAACGCACCTCATAAAGGCAAATGTAAAGATCAAGTAAAAATCTAAAATTGATTAATTTTCTTGCATCTTATTTCGAAATGCTGAATATCTTCGGTAAAAGTAATGGTAAGATAGATTAAAAAGGGTTTTATTTCGCTTGAGTTTACTGCTTTGTTTACGCACTCAATTCGTCGCTTAAATTTACTTCCCAATACACATTTTTACACATGGTTTAATAAGCTAAATACGAGGCATTTCACTTTTAAATGAATACCCTCATTGTCTCTCTTTCAACAATCAACTCAGGTTCATGATTCAATAATGAAAGGTTTTGTAAGAAAACTTTCTCTCGCTCTAATTTTATCAATGACACTCCTACCCTACTCCCAAAAACAAAAACAGTGATATTTCTTTTCCAAATTTATTTGCAAGTTTTAAGAACATTTTTAAATTTTTAGTAGTGAAATTTTTACTTTGTAAATTTGTAGAGGTGTTTGTTCTGCATTCGCTGGCGACAAGAAGACAAAATAGGTGAGAACTGTTAGCCTAGAGAAATTCAATGTAGGCTAAAATGCCGAAATTCCCGTAAATGCCGCATAGTTGTGCTTGTCGACATTCGTGGAGACCTATGTAATGAATCTACCAAGTCGCTGTAAAGTAAATCGCGCAATGATCTAAATTAAAAGCCGTGGGTCCTAAAAGTATGCAATATGGAAAAGTAACAGAAACAAAGTGTAATCAGGCAAATCTGGCAGTATGAGGGGCATGTAACTAAACGTTGCATGTTCTTAAGCGCGCCTGCTAGTCTTTTGGAGATCGAAATTAGCGATAGCGCATGCTGGAATCCGACTGCTGGTGTCTCCGAATGAGACTTTGACACAATATAATATTAGCAAACCGCGTCCATGGATCCAGTCGTAACGCACGACAGCTCGGTTTAGTCAATGGCGCGTTATAATTGCGCACTTACGGCACTTCTCATTTGACGATGTAGATCACGTTCCCTGTATCAGTCGTTCAGTAGCTGCGTGTCCTTTTTATTCTTCCTGTCGTCCGGCACGAAGCGCCAATCGCGACTGTATAAGCCAATGTTTAATATTCTGACGGCGGCATAATCTCACCAGAACACTAAAAGTATGTTCACATATAAATATTATCTCAATCAAAGCTCGTTTTTTAATCACCTCGTTTACACAGATTTCAGATTATTAGCCATCAAATTTTTCGTGCTTGTCATTCTCACATCTCAAGGAAAAGTTATGTTTCTTCTCTGTGCCACCGTGATCACGTTTTTCTGCTATATTAAGCAATATAGATATATTTTAACTTAATATTTCATTTAAAATACCTTTACAAACCTCTTTTCCTTGCTAGCATACATTTTTGTTTACTTTTACATTTGCCATTTCTCCTCTTCTTCGCAAAAACAATCGATAAAACTAGGATGGACACCGAAAAGTTATCGGTTAAATCTGAGATTATTTTATATAGCTAATCTCTTTTTCGAATTACAAGTTAAGCTCGAAAATGAGTATAATCTACTTATATATGAACCTATTATAAAAGTGCAATATCAAAGAATTCGAATTACCATATTCGAAGCAATAGAGCCATAACCGCGAAAGAAACGTAAGCTCCAAATGTTTTTATTTGGTTTTTATTAATCAAAATTCCATAATTTTTCTACAAACAAATAGCTTCTTCATACCCATTTAATGTAAATGGTACCGCAAAGAATTTACAAGGCAGACAAACAATAAAGGAGGTTATAGGAAGTGAGGGAGGGGTCTAATTAATTTTTTGTATTCATTTTCGGCTTAAACGGTCGAAGAAGGATAGGAATACACACCCGTCTTAACTTTGCATGAAAAATGAAATTTTAATCCCCCTTACAACCACACGTAAGAGAGTTGTAGCGTGAAAATGATCCGGTCATATTCGTTTTCATCGACCCCAAAAATCTAGAAATGGTGGGGTCTACCATGGGGTTCACAAAATTTTTTGTTTTTATGTACCTGTGTAATTAATATACAACTGCTTTCGGAGTTTCCATCTAAAGGTGTCAAAGACTTCTTTTCTGCAGTTTGGTATGTTCACGAAAGTTAAGGCCTGAGACATTCTGGACAACTTTGCCAACGAAATTTTGCCGAAAAACCAACTAGATAAAAGTTATGTACTTAATTTTAATATTTTACTTTTTTTGTTATATTTTATTTATATTATTTTACACAGTTGAAAGTCACAGCAAGTTTGAATATTTTCACAGGTTCAGAAAACAACGAAAGTTCCAAAATTTTAAATTTTATAACATTATTCTTCAATCATTAATTTCTTGAGATTTCTTATTTTTAGGATAATTTCCAAAATTTCAAAAACTGTCGAACTCCCGGAAATTTGGTACAATGAGAATATTTCGAAATGTATATTTTCCAAAATTTTGAGAATTTTATTTATCTAAAATTCATCCTAAAATGTAAAAATATGAAACATCACAAAGTGTCGAAAAACTCTTATGTTCATGTACTTGTGTGTAAAAAATAGAAAATTCTTAGAATTCTAAAAGATATTAAAATTTTTGAAAAATTCCAAAATTGTCCAACTTTTCCAAAATTTTGTATTGATATAACAAAGTTTGAGAATTTAAAATTTTTTGAAAATTTTGAAAAGATCAACGTCCACAAAATTTATTGAATCTTCAAGTATTATGAAAATTTTTTAAATTTTCAAAAACGACGAAATATGAAAATGTTTTCAACACTTTTACTTAGAAAAAATTTGTTAGAATTCCTACAATTCTCAAAATTTTTGGAAAATAAAAAATCTTTAGAAATCTAGTATTCATCATTATTTTGAGTTATTGGGACTTACTAAAATTTCTCAAATTCACAAAGTTTTGAAAGTTTAGAAAATTTTGGAATTCCACTCAAGTTATTAACAAGTAATTTTTAGCAAAAAAAAACCGACTTCAAGTCCCATATAAAAAAAATATATATATATGTATATATCTCATGATCCACTGATCGGATCTCAACCAGATTAGTATGGGACCACCTCTGAGACACTACCTTTCCGATGCAAAAAGAATTATCGACGAATCGGTTGACGTGGTCCAAAGTTATGCGGTAACATACATAAAAAAAAAAAAATATTCCGACGAACTGATAACCTCCTCCTTTTTGGGAAGTCGGTTAAAAAGGGGAAACATCAAGAAATTAAAAACTATCAAAACTCTAAAAATTTTAAATTGGAGTGATTTTTAAATTTATATACACGATATATGAATATATGTTGATAAATTTATAATTTTGAGCCAATTATTAAAGTGCAAGTCTGAAGTTACCAGACAATTTCGTTGATTTTTTGCAATTATTTATATTTTGCTGACAGTGTCTTCCATATAAAAAAAAATTGTCGAACATAGTTTGTATGGAAGAAACTCTCATTAAAAACAATAAAACCGCTGTGGTGTAGTGGTAAGCAGTGCGCGCTTCCACTCCGCAGCACCAGGGTTCAAACCCTGGTCAAAGCAACATCGCAAAAATATAGAAAAAAAAAGTTTTTTCTTAACAGCGGTCGTCCCTCGG